ATTGAAGCCAGGATCAAAGCCCGGATTGAACCTTCCTCCGCACCGCCCGCCGAAACCCTCCTGAGCCGCCATAGGTTTTCCTTCCCGAACAACGTCGGCAAAAGATTTTTTTCGTTGGCTGTGTCACAGGATACAGCTTAGGGATGTGCCTTGCTTTCACGAAGGGTGAAGTCGCGGTATGCTTTGGCGGCTGCCTCTGGGGTTTCCTAGTTCTAGTTCTCGCAAACAGACTACACAAGCCCGGCGTGGGCCAAAAGAATTTTCTAGGCCCAATAGAGATTAGCTTAGGAATCTCACGCAGCTCGTGAATCTTCTCATCTGACCTTTTCCCCATGACGCACGCGGACGTAACTACGATCGGTAGCTCAGCTGGGTTCAAGGGAGGAAAGATTGGATCAAGATTCTGCGGATTTGAATTTTCAAATTTTTTTGAACCAGGATCAGCACCTGTCGACCCTGACCTCGCCGGCTTTCTTGCCGGTCGAGACGTCGAGGCCGACCTAGAGCCTGAACTCACCGGCGACCTCACCGGCGTTCTTGCCGGTCGAGATGTCGAGGGCGACCTGCCACTCATAGAGCCTGAACTCGCCGACGTTTTTGCCGACCGGTACTGGTAAGTCGCTTTGGCAAAAAAGTCTCCTAGGGTTCTTGGTGGAGATACCCAAGGGGAGGGCAAAGGCCCATGCCATGGCGTGCCAACCAATTTTCTGTGAACCAATGATGAGATCACCGACCTTGAAAGCCCGTGATCACTTTGGATGAAGGAATGTTACCGATGCCAAGACACGTTCGCTCTTGCTAATCGATCCACCGTGAAACTCCGCTTCGAGAGCATCCTTGACGAATTCGGTGTTGAAGGCACACCTCCCTGCGTGCCTTTGGATCTTCATCGTCGGTGTCCTCCGGCTGCGCCCAGAATCTTGACGCGATCACCTACGCTGGTGAAGATGGATCGCCACCGCCTTGTACGCCATGAACGGGCTTTGGACGTAGGGTCATGTCCACGGCCATCGCTACCTCGCGCGACATAGCCTCGCGACCCTTGTCGCGCCACCGGTCATCCGCTTCGTCGTCGTCGCTGTCAGGTTCTAGAGCGGCTGCCGCTGGTAGCAAAGCCCGCCTGACCGCCGAAGCGAGGGTCAAGCGACGCTTACCAACCATCCGCCTCCGCATCTTATTTTATTTATTTATTTATATGGAAAATACTTTTTACTCTTTGCTTTTAGAGTGTAGCTGCTCTCATGTGTGTATCTCAAGATTAAGGTGGATATGACCCGATGAAGTATATGTATATGGAGCATGCGATCATATTATACCATTCGGAGCAGTATGTTTGTAAGTATGCAAGTATACATAGCGTATGTTATTCTTCCTTTGTCTCTACGATTTTTGAAGGTGTCCTAACAGTTTTTGCGGATGCTAGGACAATCCAAAGTGTGCTTGCCTTGGTAAGTTCCCTTTTCGGGTGAGCATTTGTTGATCTTGAAGGGATTGAGACGCCTAAGATGGGGTGAATTGGGTTATTTACTTACTTAAAACTAAGACTTAAAAAAACCTCTTATAAAAACCTATACAAGTTCTATCTAGATGTGTAGTAGACTTTTCTAAGTGTTGCTATCTCTAACACAAAAAGATTTATGCACCCTAGGTTTAAATCCTATCAACTAACCTAACAAGCTAGAATAGGAAAGTAAAGCACGTGCACACACATCAAGGAATACAAAAGTAAATGCGGAAATGTAAATTGAGTTGGAGGATGCAAATTCGTGCACAACGATTTTTCCCAAGGAATTGAAAAGCTCGTGCTTTTCACTAGTATACTTGTCGAAGCCTTCGCAAGGGCCAAGCTCTACAGTCGGGTAACTCCGCGGATAGCCCACGGGCCTTCCCCACATTGAAAGGATCTAGCAAGACCTAGAGGGGAGTGAATAGGTTTGGTTCTAAAAATTCATAGCTAATTTGAAACTGATTAGTATCCTCGCGGAGGTTTTGGACAAATGCGCGGAGGCTCCGCGCAGTAGAGTGCAAAATGAATTACATAGGAATATAACATATGAAACTCTGTGAGCGGGAGCTGAGTATGTGGCACTTGTGGGCATGATCACTGGCTCCGCCGGCCACGCAGGCATCAGTCGGGAAGGAGGCAGCAAGGCCCCATACATGAAGATAACCAAGATGGTTGCCCTGCCCCAGCAGGTTTCCTCTCATCGTCAGCCCGATCGTGGGCAACATTGTCCGGACCAAGGTGCTCATGGACAGCGGAAGCGACCTCAACATCCTCTACACTAAGACCCTAGATCAAATGAAGTTGCCGAGTAGCGGCCTTCGCTAGAGCGGGGCACCGTTTTATTGGGTCATCTCGGGCAAGCAAGCGGTGCCTCTTGATAGATCCAATTGCCTGTAACTTTCAGTGAGCCTAACAACTTCCGCAAGGAACAACTCACCTTCGGAGTTGGTGGACTTCTCAGGCACGTACCACACCTTGCTTTGACGAGCATGTTACATGGAGTTCATGGCAATCCCCAACTATAGCTACTTCAAGCTCAAGATGCATAGCTCGAACGGGGTTACAACCATCGGCACTGACTCCAGCGTGCTTACCTCTACGAGCAGGAGTCTATGGGCACCTGCAGCCGCAATAACAAGCTCTGCCAACCACGCAAACGTTGATTGGGAAGGAGGCGGCAAGGTCCTATACGTGAAGAGAACCAAGACTGTCACCCTGCCTCGACAGGTTCCTGCTCTCCATCCGCCTGATCATTGGCAATGTGCGCCTCACCAAGGTGCTCATGGAGTGTTTGGCATGATGTCCCGCCATCAAGCACATATGGTCCTCTGTGCGGGCACGATGCCACAATGCGATGTGTGCCTCTAGCCCTTTGTGTAGGCGCGATTGCTGGTGTGCACGCCTGCGCTCAAGCATGGTCCTTAGAGGGTCATCTAGATGTTGCTTGTGGGTGGAATTAGGAGGTCCAGTGAGAGCGAGGGTCGGCCGAGCGTCGGGAGGAGGATGGGAAGGGAGGCAACAAGAGAGGCCACGAAGCGTCAAAAGCAACATATGTGTGGTGTGGTGTTGTTCCACAAGGGATAAGGTTAGGGAGCAATCGAGTGTGTGTGTGGAGGGGGCTTGAGATTCTAGCGTTTCATTAGGCTAGGTTGTATTGAATGGTTTAGATCTAGAGGCATTACAAAAATTACGACTACCCGGTAGGTACTCAATGATGATTTTTCTTATTTGTACCTATTCGTGTAGACTTGTGGGTGAGTTTTATCACCTGTATGCACACCCATCGGGTAACCTAGGTCTGCCTAGGTACACAACCTAGAATGTACAAAGTTTTTTTTCTTATGCCACAAAAGACAATATAAACTTTCTTCTAAAATAATAATGTATTCAACTTTATGTTTTAACAAAAACATTTCATTGGAAAGCTTCAAGTTGTTGAAAATCCAAAACTTCACATCTCCTCTTCACTTATTTACCTTCTTCGTACCCACCGAGTCATGTTATTTTTGTCGCTTATTCGTCCTCACTGTTTTTGTCGCTACTGGTACTTGAAATTCAAGATGGTTTCTCAAGTCCATTGTCGGTTTTCTACTAGACATGCCAACTTTTTATGAGTTAGGATGCAACAACTGTTGTTATTATTCATATATATTGCTCAATAATACGTCAAGGATTACATGACTATATATTAAGAAGGAAAAAAGCTCTTGAATGTCCATGTAGAAAGCAACATAGTATCACTGGTTTTATTTGTGGAGCCTAGAGAAAATATAAATTTTATTTCGTTGTCTTGTTTCCAATATAATAGTATATACACATTAGTATGCCGATACTGTATAAACATCCCTTTTTATGGTAGGGCTTTTTCAGATTAATATAGGCTATCATCATCCATTTATATAAAATATAAATATAATAAAGCTAATAAAGCTTGCATCTAGAATTTCATTTCAATCAACAATATCCTACCGAGAAAACTCGACTACCAAAAATGTACAGCTCGTCCACTATCGAGATGATGAAGAGATAAAAACCCAAATGGAATGGACCACCAGAAAAACCAGAAAATCAGCAACCGTCATCGAACTCGTAGGGAGAGACAGCGCGACACGAGACTACAGGAGAGGAGGGAGAGGGCCAGACCGCAAGACAGCCACAGTTTGCTTAGGGTTTCTCCCGAGACAGACAAGTACACCACCACACACACGCGCCTCCCCACGAAAAATTCACAAACCCACCGGAGGCACAGAAAATTTCCCAGGGAAAGGAAAAATCCCGTCCGAAATCCAGCGCTCCAAATCCGTTCGTCCCCTAGGCGCTCCCCCGAACCCGTCCCGAATCCCGCAAATCCTCGCTGAAATTCCCCAATCCTCCGTGCTCGCCGCCGCCGCCGCCCCCCTGCGACCGGCCGCCCCGCCTCCTGTCGCAGCCGTTGCCGCGGATTTCCACCCGACGAGGGTTTCGTCTCGCTCTCGCTCTCGCTCTCTCCGCGCTACTGCCGCCACAGATTGGCGCGACCGACCCGTCATCCAGGACCTTCTTACGCCCGCGAGGCCCGGCCGGGGGCTCCTCCCGCGGAAATTCACTTTCGTCCAGAGGCGGGGCTCTCCTCTTCCTCGCCGCCCCCGCCCCCGCGCTCTGCTGGTACTCGAGTGGCGTGGGGTGGAGATCCACCAGGGCGTGGATCGATTCCTCTTCGTTTCTTCGTTCGGTGGTGAGTAACCCTAGCTTGGATTGTTCAAAGGATTTCCTTTGTTCTCATGTACCTAAGGATTTGTTCTCGACGTGATAGCCGGCTAATACAATCTAATCCGTGCATGGCTCGATTAGGTTTTTAATCATTCAGACGCGGAATATCAATCTATATAGGTGCACGAGGAGTTTATATATCCCCAATTTTTCGGGGGTTCAATTGAACCCCCATGCCCCACGCTAAGTCCGCCTCTGGTGGTGGTGGACTGGATTGGTGGACGCTGCTGATTTTGTCGTGGGCATGGAGCGTAGTGAGCCCTCGTTGAAGCCGGAATGGCTGCTGCGGCCCACAGTACCTGCCACGGCCCATAAGCCGGCGACTTCGCCCCGCACAGGTGAGCTTGCCATCTAAATCCCTACTGTCTATTTATTGCTAGGGATAGCATTCGTGTGCGATTCATTGCAGTTCACATTTATTGATGTCACGGTGACAAGTTGCAACGGATAGGTTTATAGTGACACCAGATAGTATTACAGTGGCAGGTATCCCACCAGTGCCTAGTAGAATTATACGTGCCAAGTGGTGCCCTTTTTGTGCACGGTAGAAACTAGTTCAATTCTATGTCGAGAATTTGCTACCCCAAATTTGGATAGGTTTATAGTGAAACCGGATAGTATTACAGTGGCAGTTATCCCACCGGTGCCTAGAATTATACATGCCAAGTGGTGCCTTTTTTGTGCATGGTAGAAACTAGTTCAATTCTATGTCGAGAATTTGCTACCCCAAATTCAATGCTAGTTTCTTTAAAACAAGATTTCCGTTTATGCACTGTTTTATTCTGTCATTGTGGTATATCAGCAATATTTGCATGGCAAGTGTTCTATTTATTATGCTTCATGTAAATCAGGACGGTTCGTGGTGGTGCACGTAATATTATATAAGTTTTGCTAACTATGGTAACTATTGAGGGAAGCTGTTAGGGACTGCCTTGCCTTGTATATTGTGAAACTGATGTTTCTCAATTTTTTGTGACCATGTAACTGCACTGACTATTGTGAATTTTGGGGTTGTTTGTAAGGAAAATTTTGTGTTTGGAGTAATTGGGGTCTTAGTTTGGGGTGGTTGTGAGCATTGTTTTTTTGCTTGTCTGTTAGCCCTGTTTCAGTGTTGCCTTTGTGGTCCGGGTAGCAGCAAGCCATCAACCTCTTCCTCGGTGTGAGGAATGGTTATGAACAGTTGAGTGTTGACACACATGATTGTGTGCCTGTGAGAACACACTTGAGCTGGCTCCAACCATCAGTGGCGTAAATCACATCAGTAGCCTGCAAGATAATCACCTTGTGCTTTCTGAATTTGGGTTGTCTGCATATATTCTTGCCTGTCATATACTCGTATCATGCTTGGTTGGTAGGTGCGGTAAACATGCCTGCTGGGTTTGCTCATTTACTTAAAAAATACGGTATGGACCAGCTTAGGATGGAGGACCTAGACGGCTTTCAACCAATCTTTAAATGCTGGGTGTATGGGTAGAAGTCGAGCAGTGCAGGTTTAGAAGCTAGGGTGATTGGTGTAGGGCTGTAGAAACAGAGAAGATTAGGGATTTCTAAGTCTGATGCCTTGATTTTCCACCTGCAACACAAAGCAAACGGTGAGCATCTGGATTAAACATAAATTCGTAACTAAGTAAGCCAGTTCACCACCATCTCATGCTTTACACAATTGATGCGAGCAATTAGCCAATTACAGCAGATATGTTGCTTTCTTGGCACCACTGGCTGGGGCCTGGCTGCATGAAGTGAGGCTAAAGTTTGGAGTCTGTTTGCTTGGTGACGTGCTTCAACCTAACAAAGAGTGATTGATTGTCCTGTTGCAAGGATGCAGAGGACTCGATTGTTTCTAGGTACAAGGTGAAATAATTGGTTTTGTGGCAGATTGAGTGCATGCACTTTCAGTTATAACTAGCGTGTTGTTTGAGCTCTATCCTCGTGTGCCTGTACATTTTATTTAGCTTCTTGTGACTTGGCTGCTTATTGATGATCATAGTATAAGGATCATATCTTTATATTTTTGTACTGATTAAAAAGTAATTCTGCTTATATGCTTATGTAATCTCTTGTCCTTGTGCATAAGGAAAACTCTTTATGTAGTTTACGACTTCACGACATGTCTTGTTCTTAGGGATGAAAACAGTACAGAAATATCCAGTACCAAACCGCATCGTTTTCTACATTTAATCCGATCGAATTCGTATTTTCGGACAAATTCGAATTTGGTTTCAAATACGGAACACCAAATTCGAAATCGGAATGAAAAAAGTTTAGAGGTTTTCCTACCGTTTTCATCCCTACTTGTTCTTACCAAGTATTGTTTTCAATGTGACAATGCTGTTTACCATGTAAACTATTTAGTAGTTTATTGATACTCAGTTCACAATTTACATCTATGTGCATGAATTGTTCTTTATTTGTCAGTGACACTAATTCGCATCTTGATACTTCTCTTTGGCATTATGTACTAAGAAGCTCTTTATTGGATGATTTCAGATGATCACGGCAGGGGTGCTTCATCAAGAAACCGTTTGTCAGGGCGAGATCGTGATCGGAGCTCCCAACAGTCCTCGTCTCGGAGAGGTTCAAGCTCTAGTGGTTCAAGGCGGAATGATCGAGATGGTTCAGGGAAATCAAGAGGCTATGGTAATTTTGGAAAGCACAACAAGGAAAGGATACAAGAGAAGGACCTGGATTTTCGTGATCGGGAGAGTAGGTTGGTTCAGCCTGATGATCCTTTACGTGATGGCTTTGAGTCCTTTAGCTCATGCAGATCTGAAAAGGACAGGCTTAACCGTACTCATTCAAAGGTGGCCATATCAAATCGGGCAGTAGGAGTAAGTTTAGACAATGGTAATGTATCTAAAAAAGACAATGGTGTCATCTCCTTTGAGCGAGAATTCCCACACCTTGGTTCTGAGGACAAAAATGGAAAGCAAGACATATGTCGAGTTCCGTCTCCTGGAATTAGCACCCCAATTCAGAACATACCATTGGTAGTATCTGATGGCTGGAATTCAGTGCTTGCAGAAGTACCTATGCTAGGGGATCCAAACATTAACTCTGTTTCCTCTTCCTCATCACCCGCTGGTTCTAGTAAACAGATTGAAGTGTCCAACTCTGGGAGTGCGTTAAGCATGGCTGAAACAGTGATGCAGTCGCCCTTAAAGATTTCTACCACCCCTCAGGTAGTTAATCAGTGAGGTTTATGTTTCTCTGTTTGCATTTCATTTCTTTTTCTTGTTTTGAATATTGTTTATGGCTTTTTTGCACCATATTGATTGTTCTTTTTATTCAGTTATCAATCGATGCTCAGAAGATTGAAGAAAGAACTATGAGGCAGTGCATTCTAAGACCTCTTACACCATCATCAAACAAAATATCTGTGAGTACCCTGTTTATTGCCTTTCTCCCAATGGATGCTTAATATCTGTGTATGCATGCCGCTTGATGGATATGTTATAAGCTCATTAGTCTCTTTCCATCTTGTTTGGTCATTGTTATGACCTTCTGAGGAAAACACAAGCAATTCAAGTAGTAGAGTTATGTGCAAAAAATTCTTGAACTTTTAACACCTTTCTTTTTATTTAGTGTATTAACATTTGATATTTATGTCTGAACAGCAGAATATCAAGTTATGCAGCTTACTATCATGTGGTCGTATTTTGTGTATGCATTAGTTAACGATCATAGTCAAAATTATAGTGTTTGACCCCTGGCCCATTTTATTTCCTGATGTTTTATTTTTTGAACTAAGATTTCCCAATGTATTATTTAGTCTTCAGTTCACCCATGACATAGTTGTTGGCAATTACCTTAGGAGCGCTCAGAGCTGTCTTTTTGTCATAGACTTATGCAAATTAAGTTACTGGAGAACTGATTGCTTGGTTGTTTAAACAGACATGTTTGGGATTGAATCTATTTTTTTTCCTGTTTTCAAAATATAAAATCCTGAATATTTTATGGCATCTGTTATTTAAATTTGCTAGATTTCATATCAACTATTTTGCAAGGAATATGCTTCATCAATCACTTCTATCAAAATAGAAAGTTTTTGTCTGTTCAGCTGTTGCAATAGGTCATCAAACTGTGTTGAGGCTGCTTTGCCAATTTGACTCTGACAATTAAAGGTCACAAGGGAGACCAGAAATATACTTTGCAACATGTGTGTTCCTGATTATTGATTAGTCACAACTCCCTGTCACAGTTCATCCTGACATGGACTTCGAGTTGTGCTTGCAACATTTTTCGTTGGCACCAATTAGCTAACATCTGAAAAGTTTGAGTTCTGAAATTCTGTATGTTGTATTGCAATAAATACAAGAAACAAGGCTAGTACTTAGTTTTCAGTTGTACCTGGTACTCTTGATTAAAGCAGTGTTTTTGGGATTTGAGCTTATAATATTACTATTTTCAGAAGCTGCGATCCATGTCTACAAGCATCTGATCTCTTGTAGCTACTTATTGTGACTATTCCACCTAGCCTAAGCAATGTTTTTAAGGCGTCGCTTAGGCATCGGGGTGCTCCAGGCTCGCCTTAGGGGTAAGGCGGCGCCTTGTCGCCTTATGTACATGCTGATGCCCCTCGATTCCGCCGTCTCCTCATCGATTCTGATGCTGGTCCTCTCTATTCCGCCGTCTCCTCGTCGATTCCGCTCAGTTGCGCTGTCTCCTCGCCGCCGTCTGCTCGATTCCACCTTCTCCTCGCCACCGGCTGCTCGATCTGGAAGGGGACGGCAGCGGCTGTAGATCTGGAAGGGGAGCAGCGAGGGAGGGGAGCAGAGCAGCGCATCCGGAGAGAGGGGAGGATCCGCGGACGGAAGCGGAGCCGCAGAGGGAAGTGGAGCGGCGGAGAGACGAGCGGAGGCGGACGAGTGGTGGAGAATGAGGAGCAGCGCTGGAGGGGATTCCCATTGGGATAAGCCACGCTAGGAGGGGGAGGGGCACATGGGCCCACTTCTTACTCCTCCTTTCTTTCTCTTTTTTCCTCCTTTCTCTAAGATGTTGTGTTAAATTTTTCTTAAATTCGTAAGGCGTCGCCTCGCCTCACGCCTTAGTTGCCTAAGCGTAAGGCGGTAGTCACTCGCCTCGTCTCGCCTTACCGCCTTAAAAACATTGAGTCTAAGCTGTCTATAATTCATCTTGTAGCTACTTATTATGACTTTTACCTAGTATAATTCATCAAAATCTTATGAAACAAGCTAATTTGGAGCAGGATCCAAGTCTTACGAAAGGAGCTAATTTGAAGCAGGATCTTGTTTCCACCATTTTTTGTGTTATCAATAGTCTGTAGTTGTGGATGCTTTAAGTTACTATTCATAATATTAAATTTAGTGGGCAACTGAAGCACTTGGCTAAATGATTCTGACAAATAGATTAGATCAAAGTCTAAAATCTAAAGCAGTTGGTCAATTTTATTGCTTATCTGAAAACCATCTATTTATTATTGTACTTCAAATCATTATCGGCATTGTTATGTTAATATATTCCCTATCTTCACTCACATGCGGAAGATAGCTATGTTTGGGTGAATATCTGTGTTTCTTTGTTTGTTTCACATATCTGTCAAGTAATGCTCTCTTTTACTGAATAGTGTAATGTTGGTTTGAACTAATTCACTCAGAATACTGTACAGGCATCTAATTCTTTGGATAAGTTATTAAAATCCAAAGGCGCAAGAGTGGGAGAGTCTAATGGTCCTATCAAGGTTGCTCCACAACTGTCAATACAACCATCTAGCAGCTCTGTTCGCACTCCGGCCAAAACTGAGCTCGTAAAGCAATCTCAATCAGGCAGCCTTCAAGTCCTTAGTCGTGAGCAGAATGGTACTGTAAATGCTGCTGCCAAAGACAGCACCAGCAATCCTGTGAGCCCTGTTCTAGGTCGATCTTCTTCAATGGAACCTATGAGAAAGTCTATTGTCAACCCAAAGCTTAAGGTTGGCACTAATGGCCGTTCTTTGCATCCACTGCAAGGTTCATTTGCTGACAGAAAAGCAAGTGCAAAAGACAAGTACAAATTTTTTGAGTTGTTGCGGAGCAAGTCTGTAAATGGTTCAAGCACTGCTATTGAGTCTCCATCTAGCCTGACTGATGATCAGCAGAACACTAGTCTTGATTCGCCTTTCAAGTTTATTGAAAATGGGAGCAGTTCCTGTGAAGAAGCAAATTCTTGTGAGGGTTCTCAGCGACACTTGTCGGACAATGAGGAAATCATTCCACCTTCAGAATCTCATGATGTTTTAGATGAGGGATCTCTGGGGATTCAAGTTGACGACAGGGATGCCAGCTCTTCACCAGTACTTGATGACACTGAAGATATAGCTTCTAAGAAGCTCCAGCAAGACAATGTTGATATTGTGCCCATCATACCTGCTTATGTAAATGATGGTTCTGTTGACAATGAAGCAAGTTTGCCGCTGGAGGAAGCCAATCCTGCTCAAGTGTTACAGCACATTGGAGCAAGGGAAGAGAATCCCTGTCCTGCTCAAGAGTTTGAGTCCATTGGGGCAGGTGGGGAGGAAGAGTTGAACCTCCTGAGATCTATGGGCTGGGATGAGAACGAAGATGTTCAGCCTCTTCAGCAGGAGGAGATTGCTGATTGTGTAAGTGTTTGATACATTCTCTAATCCATCGGCCAAAATTTATTATTATGCCATATTGGTTCCAGAGTTTAGGAGGCCCTAACAATCTCATAGTTGATATGGTACTTCGTAGTGCATATTACTGAAGAGATGATGACTGCAGTTGTAAATTTTACCATTTCCCCCACCTTTTTCTTTTGTAGCTAAGGCAGAACGCGAGGCTGCAACAGAAGCTTCAGGAATGCAGGGGCTGATCGCCGAATCCATGGAGCAATGTCACTGTGCGTCACCACAATGAGAAGATGCGGGCGTGGAGCTGGGTTTTGGTACCTTCCGGTCAACCGATCAGGGAATGATTGTCTAGCTTAGCAAATGGAGAGTTTTGTTTTTGTTAATGCTTGTTCAGCATTGTGGGGGGAGGTTTCATGGTAGAGCTGATAATTTTTCCCCCATTGAAAAGAAGTTTTAGGGTTTTTCTTCCTCATTTTCCCAGAAGGAATACACCAAATGGAAGTCTTGTCTGGTGTTGGAGGCACGTAGGTGTGCGTTGCTCTGAAAGAAGAATAGGTTGTCTTTCTTACTTTTTCGTGGCCATCTTTTTTTCTTTGGAAAAAGAAGGAAAAAAAAGAGAATGATCGAGCTTAACATGAAAAAGGTGCACAGGAATTACCTCATCTTTAATCTTCTTGCCTTAACTTTTTTTTTTTAAAGGTTTCATTTTTGCTCTCCTATTCGATTTAGCCCCGTTACCTTACGTTGCTGTTACCGGTTGGTTTTATGCCAAATTTGGACTTGGAACAAAATTTTGTGAAGGCTATAGCTCTAATCTGATGGGTCAAGATTAAGCTCTATTTTATTGCTAGTGCGATCTAGACCATTGAACTTCTTTCGGGGCGCTTGTACACGTTGCTCTCTGGAAGCCCACAAGCCATCACGTTTGTCAATAGCATTCTCGTTATCCAGTCGTGTGTCATAAGGTTCTATACGGTGACAAGGGGAAGGGGCCAGAAAGATGGACGGCACTGATCTACGTAACTGATTCGTATGTCCACTCGCCACGAAATAATATGAAGTACTCTATTTGTTTGCAGGTAAAATGTTGCTGTCTCACCTACACCCATGGACGAGTCTCGAAAGAATAATAGCAGCTCAGAATTGCTCACCGAACCACAGAACAGCTTCCGTGATAAGAAGCTCCCATAAAAAGTTGGCCACTCTGTGTTCACCCCATTTGCGAAATTTCTCTGAACGTTGATTTCGGGATGTGCTTCATGTACGACTGGTTTGTATTGTACGTGTGGCAAGTTCGGCTGCTGGTTCATACTACAAACCAGTTGCAGCATAGCATTTTTTTTTGTTTTTTTTGCGAGCAAAGAGAGAACTTCATTAGCTAGTCACAAAGTGATTACAATCGGCAGTAAGCAGGCTCGAAGCACACGCAGGTGCTCGTCCCAGCCAAGCCGCGGGATGTTTACATCTTCTGGCTAATGACGCCAAAGCATTTGCCACTTGGTTATAGCCTCTCTTCACCTGGGAAATCTTCCTGTCGTTGCAGCATAGCATGACTCGTCAATTTTGATGTTTCGAAAATTTGGATGATTGATGTCCACTGTACTTATGCCGCTATGGCAGTATTCAGAAAAAAGGCAGTTAGTCATACTCGTACGGATGGCATGGCTCGTCGAGTTTAAAATGATGTTTTCATGTTGATTTGGACGATTGGGTGTAACTGCGTATGCATTGTGCATTGCCAGAGTGTCGATGAACCAGGGTGTCGATGCATATATAATATATTCTTGTAAAGAGTATACACGGGACAGATGATAATTGAATTTGGATGATCAGTGCGCCTAATCACCCACAAACAAGTGCCATCACAATCATGACTTACTTTCAAGGGAAACAAACCAATCGGGGTAGGCGCCCTGTTCGCTTAGGTTTGTTTGGCTGATAAGTCATAGCTAAAAGAACTGTTGGCTGATTTAGTGTGAGAGAAAAATAACGTTTGTTGGCTGAAAAAATACGATTTATAAGCCAAACAAGCTCAAACGAATGAGACGATGGTCATGGTCATGGGCCAAGCAATAATCGAAAAGTCCTAGTTGGACCGCCCGGTTGCTCACCAACTTGGGCATCACATATACCTACACATATATGTTGGCTACCTAGCCCCCCTTCCTTTTTTGAAAGGAGTCAAACAACGCCATATTACTTTCTTCAATTCATCACAAGAGAGCCACACGGCTTAGACCGGTATGAAAATACATATCATATCGTATATACATACGTATTTAAGCATGAGATGTTTTTTTTTGAAACGTAGGCTAAGCATGAAATGTTTTGCTTCTAGAGAGCATGTAGAATCGCAAAAACTTGTACGAGTAGCAGCGAACGTTGTAAAGCGAAACGTACGGATCAAATTCGTAACAGTTTGGACCTAAAAGGCCACGCAGGTGCATCCTCTCGACAAGCAAGCAAAAGGAAAATGTCACCGAGTACGAACCAAACTAGCGCCAAGGAGAAGCTTGCCGCCGTGCGATAAAGCAGGCACCTCCAATTAGGTCAAAATCCACATACCAGTCTCCTTCACGGCTGCTTCATCACTGATGGGCTTCCACACCTTCTCTATCGTATCTCTTTCCACTTCTCTGTCTTTGTACTCTTGTTTTGCATCATTTGTTTGCATAATATGGTGGTCACACAGAGCAAACCTAACTATAACTACCAAATCATATTTTTATATTCGTGGCGACAAATATAAGTATGACACACTCGTCGATCTCGCCCAATAGAAGAAGAATTAAGCACACGCACCCTAGCCTTCTCTTGCTGCTGCCCTTCCAAGCCAAAGGATAGCTAGAATAGATGGAGTCAGTAGCACGGTTGCTTCTGCTGGTGGCCGTGGTGGTGGCCGCGGCCAGTGGTGCCACTACGGGCGCCCTGGCCGCGACGCCGCACCTCAAGCTCAAGGGCCTGCGCGTGCGCCTGACGCACGTCGACGCGCACGGCAACTACTCGAGGCTGCAGCTGCTGCAGCGGGCGGCGCGCCGGAGCCACCACCGCATGTCGCGGCTCGTCGCGCGTGCCACCGGCGTGAGCAAGGCCGCCGCCGGGGGAGGGGCGGGAGACCTTCAGGTGCCGGTCCACGCGGGCAACGGCGAGTTCCTGATGGACCTGGCGATCGGCACCCCGGCGCTGTCCTACGCGGCCATCGTGGACACCGGCAGCGACCTGGTGTGGACGCAGTGCAAGCCGTGCGTGGAGTGCTTCAAGCAGAGCACGCCGGTGTTCGACCCGTCGTCGTCCTCCACCTACGCGACCCTGCCGTGCTCCAGCTCCTTCTGCGGCGACCTGCCCACCTCCACCTGCACCTCCTCCAACAAGTGCGGCTACACCTACACCTACGGCGACGCGTCGTCGACGCAGGGCGTGCTGGCCAGCGAGACGTTCACGCTGGGCAAGGAGAAGCTGCCGGACGTGGCGTTCGGGTGCGGCGACACGAACGAGGGCGACGGGTTCACGCAGGGCGCCGGGCTCGTGGGGCTTGGCCGAGGGCCACTCTCGCTGGTCTCCCAGCTCGGCCTCGACAAGTTCTCCTACTGCCTCACCTCGCTCGACGACGGCGACGGCAAGAGCCCGCTCCTGCTGGGCGGCTCCGCCGCGGCCATCTCTGAGAGCGCGGCCACGGCGCCCGTGCAGAGCACCCCGCTGGTGAAGAACCCGAGCCAGCCGTCCTTCTACTACGTGTCTCTGACGGGGCTCACCGTGGGGTCTACACGCATCACCCTCCCAGCCTCAGCGTTCGCGATCCAGGACGACGGCACGGGCGGCGTCATCGTCGACTCCGGCACCTCCATCACGTACCTGGAGGTGCAGGGGTACCGCGCGCTGAGGAAGGCGTTCGTGGCGCAGATGTCGCTGCCCACGGTGGACGGCTCCGAGATCGGGCTGGACCTGTGCTTCCAGGGCCCCGCAAAGGGCGTGGACCAGGTGCAGGTGCCCAAGCTGGTGCTCCACTTCGACGGCGGCGCGGACCTCGACCTCCCCGCCGAGAACTACATGGTGGTCGACTCCGCCTCCGGCGCGCTCTGCCTCACGGTGGCGCCGTCGCGGGGACTCTCCATCATCGGCAACTTCCAGCAGCAGAACTTCCAGTTCGTGTACGACGTCGCCGGGGACACGCTCTCGTTCGCGCCCGTGCAGTGCAAAAAGTTGTGATCACTCCGCATACATACGTACGTGTATGCGTAGCCGTGTTGGTGATTGTGTTGGATGGACCGGTTGGTCTTCATGTGACGACGGCAGGGTGGTTACTGGTCAGTGATCAATATATCGACGTGTAGATATATATCATCATGCGTCGTCACGCGCTTCTTCTTCTTCTTTTTGTTTTCGTTTTACTGCGGGAACAATGGGTGCGCTTGCTTTATGCTTTGGTTTGCATTTCTAAGACGGAGACATTTGGACATTTGGTCCATGTGCTGGCCTCCAATTGACTTGCGTTCTCAGACGTTCAGCAGCGTTTAGACCTGGCGAAGCTCGTGTTCTCTCTTATCTGCCTGCTTTGGTTTCTTTTATCAGGCTATCACTCTCGGAGCTTTACCGCTTCTGAGATCGATCTTCTGGGAGACGCGGACCCTGATATGACTCTCAACTGCTTTATAACCTTTAATAGGGAAACAAAAATCCATTTCGACCTCTCCGACTCGTCCAAGTCCATTTGGCTACTCCAATCGGAATACCGTTTCCTTATTTTTCGTCCCCAATTTTGCTCCTCAGCGGTTTAGAAAGTAGTTTTGGCTAATGTGGCACCAGGTTCAGACATCTTTACCTATCCGTAGAATGCTATTTTCTTTTTTTCGCGCCGATCTTGGTCAAAAGTTTTAAGGCCTGTGCTGAAACTAAAAACATCCTACTCTTTAATCTGGCCATGAAACATAGAATTAGAATACTCCCCCTCTTTTTTTTTACTTAGAAAATCTTAAAATCCAATTAAATCCAATTAAATATAGTACGATTAAATCTTAGAAAATCCATAGAAAGTTTGTTTTAGCTCGAAGAAACATGAAATCAATTTCATGTTTTCTTTTCTTCTTGGTGCCTATGTTGGGATTATTTGAATCTTATATAGTATTTTTAGTGTTTATTTGTTAATAGATGCTTTAGTTATTTATTATAATTAGTCTATGTTGACGATGAAGATCATGTAGCCACATGCCATGTAACACCCTTATATTCGATTATATTTAATATGAACACATGTACACACATGCACACTCACAGTATATAAGCACGCACAACGATCCCTTGTGAGCACAATTCTTGAGATTAGCATATCACCACATACATCTTAATGTTGATAGTTCATAACATTTTGTTAACTTATTTTCACATAACTCTCTTGTATAGTTGTGTCATTTTTTTGCTAATAATTCGAATCTGACCAAACAGAATTCATTTAGATATTTATAAACAAGAAACATAAGATGTTTCTTTTGTGGCATGGTGGTATGTAGCTGATGGGGCATGTCAAGTTAACGTAGGATAATTAAACAAATAACTAGAGCATCTAGTAGTAAATAAACATTAAAACTTAAAAGGAAGATTCAAATAATCCCAAGCTAGATATCATAAGATACTGCATAATTTTAGAAAAAATAAAACTGGTTTCATCTTTTTTTGGACAAAAAAATAAAACATAAGATATAGCATTAGGATTTTAATTGCCTATTTTATTTAAACATTTAGATTTTTTTTAAAAAAATTGATAGAGTCTAATTAACCCATGAACTATCAAAGTATTTTGATTTAGTTTTCTTGTGGCTACATGATGTCATATATGATGGTTGATGTGGCGCCACGTTGGCTAAAATTGATTTTAAAATCGCCATAGAGCAAATTCTGATGTCGTTAAAAGTATGTTAAAAAAAATAGTTTTTCAATGAGGAAGTATATCGGAATTCAATAATAGTTGAGGTCTGAGGAGGTCAAATGGACCATTTAATAACCTTTAATAAGAACATAAACTAGTTGAATGTAAAAACGAGGCCAGTTAAAAATCAGCCTAGCTAACTGGGCCAAGCCAACCCTGCAGCAAGAAGCTACGTGCTGCAGCCCAGGGTCCATGCTGCTTAGCGCGGTGCGTGCATCAAAGAAGCGTCTGTGGAGTGGGTGGGTCAAACAAGCTTGAGTCGGTGAGAGCTCTATCAAACCAAATGGATTTAAACAAAGGCCCTACTGAAATTGTTCTAAGCCTCTAACTAAGCCAAGCCGACCCTGCAACCTGGAAACTACTCCCTCCATCCCAAAATAAAACTGTTATTTTATAAATGAATCTGGACAAGTGCTCGTGGTTCAGTCATAAAACAACGAATTTTTGGGGACGGAGGGAGCAGCTGCAGCCTAGGATTGTCACCTGCATCCTCAGTTTTTCCGTGGTCCAAACGTCGCAAAACCGCTGGCACAGCCCTATGTTGCTCAGTGTGGTCATGTTGCGAGCCTCCGCGGTCCGCGCATTTCGGCTGTGCATTCTCCACTTTCGTCCTGGTGTTCTCTCTGGGAATTTGGGAAAAATAGCATGCTGGTCAGTGGTCTCCTGCTCCTGAATCCCCATCTACCCAAAAGCCGAACGTTCTAGCAGTAGCAAAGCATTCAAAAAAAAGTCTCGTGTTCTTTGAGAAACGGCAGCGCGTACGTACGTACACAAAAGAACACAAAGATGTCATGCCGTGGCCGTGCGATGCATTGCTAACAGCAACCAGCTCGCCTTTGCCGCACCACCTTTGTGTGGCGAGGAAACCGGTCGCCATCGTCGCTCGTCTACTTAATCAATTTCACTGTCAAGCAAAGGACACGTGCTGCGCTCGTTCGAGGACCTGGCTTGTGCTCGCCAAGCCAACACAAGACGCAGCGTAGCCTCAGCCCGGCCTCAACCGCCGCCATGGAGCTGCTAGTGCTCCTGCTCTTCCTCGCCCTCCCCGTCCTCCCGGCGCGCTGCGGCTCGGTGCCTCCGCTCCACCTCGAGCTGGCGCGCGTGGACGCCGCGGCGGCCGCCAACCTCACGGACCACGAGCTCATCCGGCGCGCCGTGCAGCGCAGCCTCGACCGACCAGGGATCGTGGCGCGCTCTGGCGGCGGCAGCGGAGGAGGGGCGGCAGCCGCGGCCGGGGCGCGCAAGTCCGTCGCGAGCGAGGCCCCGCTGGTGCCCGGCGGTGGCGACTACCTGGTCAAGCTCGGGATCGGCACGCCGCAGCACTTCTTCTCGGCGGCCATCGACACGGCCAGCGACCTCGTCTGGTTGCAGTGCCAGCCCTGCGTCAGCTGCTACCGCCAGGTTGACCCGCTGTTCAACCCCAAGCTCTCCTCCTCCTACGCCGTCGTGCCATGCAGCAGCGACACCTGCGCCCAGCTGGACGGCCACAGGTACGTACTCAACGACGCACACTGCACCACACCACCAAGGTGACACCACACGCAAATGCATGTGCAGATGCGACGAGGACGACGACCAAGCGTGCCAGTACACCTACAAGTACAGCGGGAACGCGGTGACGAAGGGCACCCTGGCCATAGACAAGCTGGCCGTCGGCGGCGACGTGTTCCACGCCGTCGTCCTCGGCTGCAGCGACTCCAGCGTCGGGGGCCCTCCCGCGCAGGCCTCGGGGCTGGTCGGCCTCGGCCGCGGGCCGCTCTCGCTGGTGTCCCAGCTCTCGGTCCGTCGGTTCATGTACTGCCTGCCACCGCCCATGTCCAGGACCCCGGGAAAGCTCGTGCTCGGCGCGCGCGCGGACGCCGTCCAGAACGTGTCGGACCGGGTGACCGTCACCATGTCGTCCAGCACGCGGTACCCGTCCTACTACTACCTCAACTTCGACGGGCTGGCCGTGGGCGACCAGACCCCGGGCACGATCAGGAGGGCAACGTCGCCGCCCACGGGCGGTGGTGGTGGAGGAGGCGGTGGCGGCAACGGCAGCGCAAACGCGTACGGGATGATCGTGGACGTCGCGTCGACGATCTCGTTCCTGGAGGCGTCGCTGTACGATGAGCTGGCGGACGACCTGGAGGAGGAGATAAGGCTGCCCCGCGCCACGCCGTCGCTCCGGCTGGGACTGGACCTCTGCTTCATCCTGCCGGAAGGCGTGGGGATAGACCGGGTGTACGTGCCGACGGTGTCGATGTCGTTCGACGGACGGTGGCTGGAGCTGGACAGGGACCGGCTGTTCGTGGAGGACGGCAGGATGATGTGCCTAATGATCGGCAGGACGAGCGGGGTGTCCATCCTTGGGAACTTCCAGCAGCAGAACATGCATGTCCTCTACAACCTGCGCCGGGGCAAGATCACCTTCGCCAAGGCCAGCTGCGACTCCTTGCCATAGATAGCTTCCGCATGGACTGGAATCTTGGTCTCATGATCTTGTACTCCGTGCCAGGATTTTAGCGAATTTGCACATTGAGAGATTAGATATTTGTCAGAAATTTCCGAACTGTAAATGCAGAAATGTGTGACCATTCACTAACCAGAGTTGAAAAAGAAGTGAACATCGCTCGAGGAGAAGCTCTAAAACTTGCTGATAAGATTCTGGTCAATTGATGAAATCCGTTTATTAACACTGAGTCACTATCTAACGTCTGATCGTCTCTTTGGTTCATTCATCTTTTTTCTAGTCTCCTTTTGTTGCTCATTGCTAGAAGTATGCAAAGCAAAGAATTGCTCTCCTTCTAGCTCAGAAAAAAAGTGGAAGGGGAAACCAACAGATTTTTGCAAACCACAGGTGCACGGGAATATAATCGTAATGTAGCCACTCAAAAAGCAGCTTACAAGAATTGATGTTTGGGCATGAATGAATTCTAACCTTATTCGTAAATCTTTACCCTCCAAACAAGGGGTAAATGCGGTTTTTTCACTTAGATAACTTGGTGTCAGAATACTCACGCACAGCATTCGCCAGTTCTTGGACATGTTGGTCTACAACTCCTGACAAGAAATATTTTAACTTTGTAGTCCATGCCACATATTGTACTATTGTCAATAAAAATTCCATAAAAGAGTAACCTTACCTAATTTGTTTAAGGCATCCTCAAGTTTGAACACATACTCTCTGTTAGGTCCAGATGGGCCTTGAGCAAGATAAATTTGCCTAAAAACGGCAAGAGTTTTCTTAGGGAACTAAACAGGGTACAAGTTATACCATAAGCTAACAATAGTTTCAGTTGCACAATCTAGTAATGCAAAAATTAATTAATGGGATGTCATACCTGGCCATTTCATCCAGAGGTGCAGGACCAAGATAGTTTTGATTGCTCTCCTTATTAGTGGTGGCGAAGTATCTGTTATCCATGTACTTATTCAGTTCTGTCAGTTAAGTTTTGGTATGTTGAAATGCCTATTTAAAATTACAGGACCACTTACACCATCACATTTTCGACAGCTGGTACTTTGGGCGATGAATCCTGAAAGTTATTACAACTTAATACTCCGTAGTAGTTACATGTGGAACATTATCAAAAGGGAAATAGATCCAGCCCTCTGTATCATCTCACCGTATACAAGTCCAGGTAAACCTTCTCATCGTATTGCTTCTCCCTGACTTCAAGATACTGCAATTCAAATCTGAAGATAAATGCCAATAGAAGCAATATAAAGCTGTAAGCAACAAAATATCAGTTTGTGCAGAGACTTGCTGCTACATATACCATCATGATAAGCACATAAAAGTTCATATATACTGAAATTTTATAAGCCAATTCATGACTTAATCATCATAGTATCTAAATCTAATCAGGCTGTAGGAAAGAACATACGAGTTTTGGTCCATCGACCAATCTCTACATCTCCATAATGACAAGTAACTAACACCAGTAATATCCCAATCATCAAACATCAAACAATCGAGTATCATTATGGGACAGTTGTGTGTCAATCAGTACTAGTGAACAAAACATATCTGCCTGGCCTGCAATAAACATACCTCCATAGCTATCTCCTTATCTTCCTCCTTTATTCTGTAAGCAACTCCCCACTGAAAGATGTAAAATAGACAGATTAGCTCGCAGAATCAACCGCATGAACTGTGAAGGAGTAACATCAACCATGAATTTACTAATTCATTTGGTTTGCGCATCCTAGTAGGAGGGTGAACATGAGAAAGGGCGTACGCAGGTCGCTCCGGGCTGGTGCTCGAGCGTGACGGTCCTCCCGGGGAACTGCGGCGTGCCCCTGTGGTCCGTGCTACCTGTCCACCGCCCGGAAGGAAGAGTAATTTGAGTGCGCGGCCGTGAAGACGGACGGATTTCAGGCGGGGGTGTGAAGGTTACCCTGGTAGAAGACGCGGCGGTAGTCCCTGACGAAGCCGACGAGGCGGGCGTCGTAGGCGAAGCCTGGGTTCCAGATCAGCGAGCCGTACCCGAACACCCAGATCGGAGACATGGCCGCCACTCCTCCCCCTTCTCCCGGCGTCTCCTTTCCCACCGGTGGAATCGAGGATGGTTTGTTTGTTGCGCACGGCCACGGGGAAGGGCGGCAGGCCCCACGCAGGGGAGTCGCCGCTGCGATCTTGCTGGTGCGCGAGCGAGTAGCAGCAGGCAGACGGAAGGCAGGCAGGCGAATCACGCAGAAATAGAGAGGCAGACGACAACTTGAACTTGCTAGTCATATTCTGCCTTTTATTTATGGAACATATCATGTGCAAATCAACTAATATATGCAAACTTGAGATCTATCGATCAGGACCACTAGATGCTGATCCAATTGATGAGGTGATGGGGCTAAGCGCAAAAAAAAAAAGGACCGGCGGGTTGGGGGCTTAAGCACAAAAAAATCTTACCTCTCAGTCCATCCATTGGATCGGCATCTAGTGATCCTAATCGATAGTTTCCAAGTTTACATAGTTTGATTGATTTACACATGATACGTTGCCTTTATTTATTCCCTTTTTATTTTGTCCCAACGTGACAAGTGGCTCGAAATGATTTTTTGGTTGCTCACGTTTGTGTTACGTCATGGTCTGCTCGCACAGTCGCACCTCGTGGATTTCTACCTACTAAAATCCATTTTTTTTCAAGAAAACTCGCACATGATAAACCTCTTCAGGTAACAGACTGAAAACACATCCTCTTTGAAGAAACAAGATGACCATTTCGGTCACACCTGGATGGGGTAACAAAGCATAGCAGATACAGTAGACACCAAGGTAAATAATCCATAAATCACTCATCAGTACAGCTTCCTCATGCAAAATGGCGAAATGCCATCAGGCACAAGACAGAAAACACAGGAGACAGATGCTGCTGGTGGGAAAGCCAGCAGCAACTTTATGGGCCCAATCAATCAGCAAACGTAGTAATCCACCAAGTAGTAAGCGAAGAATGCACAAGAAATATATAAGTATTCGTGAATAGATGTTTCAGATGACAAGTAGTAAGAGAATTGGTACAAGAAAGTTATGCACAATGTTCCTTGTTAATGAAATACTCGTGAAGTCGTATTCTAGAAAAAAAAAGTTATGCACAATGTGAAGAATGCGCTACCAAGTAGTAAAGCCAAGAACAGAATTCAGTAGACAGTGTCATCAATTTCTCTAGTTTCAATCCGGAGAATATATTTGAATAGATGTTTCAGATGACAAAAGCTACCACAAGAGCATTGAGAAATTGTCTCATGTCAGCAACCACCTTTATTTTCTCCAGTACCCCTATATTTTACTCTTATACTCTTAACTAAAGCTTATTTACTTCTCTGCATAAGCATAAGCAGAGAATCACTATAACGTAGGGTATGTATTAGCAATGGCCATGAAGGATAGACATGCCGGCAGGCAACAAACAACAATACTGAAAGTCTGAAACTACCTCAGAATCATCGACTGAAACCTGAATTGATCACAACTTCAACCCCCCCTGAAGTTCTGAACAGAACTCTGTCAATCATCACTATCAGTATCATCGACCTCGTAGTCACCCCCAATGCTTGAGTCAGTACCGTACTCAGGCTCCCATGGCTCCCTGAATGACTGGAGTGCGCAGCACCTCTCCTCGATGTCGCCTTCAAGCCTGACGTTCCAGCAGCCAAGTATGTCCAGGGTCTGCAGCTGCTGACACTTGGTAAGAATGGCGTTGAGCCCAAGGTCACTGAACAGGCCATAGGCAAGCTCAAGTTGTTCTAGCATCGGCATGGTGTTCGCGACTGCCAGTGCCTCTTCTTCAACCGCCTTAGCTGCTGTGTTGAAACCCTGAGGAAGGTCTGGAGGGGGCATGTTCCTCTTCAGCTGAACGAGCAACTTGCAGTGCCGGCCTAGTGCCTCGATTCCTTTGGGAGAGATATTCATGCAGTTACTGATGTCCAGCACTTTAAGTACAGGAAGGCATTCTGCATGCTTCTCCACGGCTTGATCAGTGATCTTGCTCATTGGGATCTGGAGGACATTGAGCAACTTACCCCTGCTCAACAGCAGCAAACACCAAACATTATATTGTTGAAACTATGTCAGATTCAGATACCATATTAACAGAGTACAAAGAACTAAAAATAATAATAGCTATAAGTAACTAAATGCACATGAATAGAGAAAACACGGTATCACAAAAGCAGTGTTTTCTAGCAAGTTCATATCCTAGTATATGATGATAAGATATCCTATAGTCATTCTAAAGTCCTTAGTGAAGCAGTACAGCCATAAGCAAGCCATAGATCAAGTAATACGTATCATCAATCATGAAGTGAAGATGTTGTAAAGCATTGCCATGTTAAGAGGCCTATGGAAAGCCAGAGCTTCAGCCAGCATGCCTAGTTTGGTTCTTAGCTTCACTTAAAGAAACAACAACATGATTTGGTATTAAAGCTGAAAAATGTCAGATAATAAGTTTCACAGAGGACAGAGTAACATAGGCCACATTACGTTGTGACCATAAAAATCTTCACCAAACGCAAGGTGATGTGAACATACAGATCAGAGTGGATCATAAATATCCAAGATATCAGCTGCCAAATTAATAAATATGAGCTACAACCACCAAATTTTCTCCATTAAAGGAATCTTTATATGAATCAAATTTTACAGTGTGACGCTCAAAACGGACAATGTCTGGTAGCAGGATCGTAGCAAATAGCCAAATAGCCGCAGGCAGTGATGAATTCTACCCATCACTAGTATAGTAAACATCAGAATCGGCAAAACTTAAAGCTTTCATAAGAGATCAGTGTGGTTCACTCAAAGCTTTCACACTATGTTTCTACTAAATGTGATGTCAGTGTGGTTCACTCCTGTCAGGTGAATAGACAGTGATTAGTGAAAGCATTTGAATGTTCATGTGGCAGGGGGCTGCATGTCAAGTGTCAACACAGCTCTAGTAAACTTTCTGAAGCCAAGAACGAACATCTCAAGCACACCAAGGGTCAGAGTGGGCAGCGTGACTTACGAGGCTGCGACGTAGGTGAGGGAGGCGTCCCCGACGCGGTAGGCAGAGAGCCTCCGAAGCGTGCCCTGCGCACGGGCGACGAGTCGGCGCACGGCGGCGTCGGCCCTGGCGCGGCAGTTGACACGGCGGCACCAGGCCTCGATGTCCACGTCCCCCCACATGTCCGGCGACGCCACGGCTTGCGTCCACGCCCTGCAAACCTGCGCCGCGCCCCGCGCCACATCGTCCGCGGCGACCCGCCCGCGGAGCACCAGCGCCAGGATCTCCGGGCTCACCGCCTCCGTCCACCTCCACTCGTACACCGCCACCTCCTCCTCATCGCCTCCCGCGTCTCCTTCGCCGTCGCCGCGAGGCCTCGCCCTTTTCGCGTCTGGCTCCGGCCAGTCCCACACCTGCGCTCTCTTTGCCCCGCCGGCGGACGTACCCGCCTCCTTCGCCGCCGGCGCAGCCGCCTCCGACCAGCTCGTCCAAAACCCTCCTCCGCTCCCGCAGCTTAGGCTACCAAGCCCCGCCTTTCCCGGACCCAGGATCCCCCTCGACCCCCCTCCTCCTCCACCAGCGACGACCGCGTCGCCTCCACCGGAGGGCTTCTTCTTCATGGCCTCCGCGTGTGACCACCTGACCACGGGCTCTCCCCCGCCGCGCGTGCCGCCGTCAGGCCTCGCCCTCTTCGCCTTCCACCCCTGGCCTACTCCTCCGCTGAAGCTGCCCCAGAATTTTGGGTTTTGGCGCTTCATGTCCGGTGATCGCCGCCGGCCAGGCACGATCGCTTGGGGTTTTCCTTTTTGGGAATCGGGGGAGGGGAGGTGAAGTGACGGGGGTTTTCTGTCTGAGCGCACACAGTGGAGAGGAGACGAGAAGGGAAGGAGCTAGCTTGCTAGCCTTTACCAACTTCGTGCTGCGGAGGAATGGGTGCATCACGCGTGCCTCATCTGGCGGTTGGAGGGTACTCCACCTTTTCCACGTCGTCCTGAAACTATGGGTACAAACGTATCAGACCATCTACGGTTGTTCAAAATAATAATCGGTAAATCAATGAACTTTTTAAATGGCAAAATAATATTTGGTAAATCAATGAACTTTTTAAGTGGCTAAAAAGTTAGAATTATATTTGTTAGATTACTTTTATTGTTCTTTAAATCACGCTACTAAAATATAAATGATAATTTTGCATCAGGATTTTCGAACCATTTCTAAATCACTCCAAACTTTTATATTTTCTCTCTTGTACATTTGCATTTTCTTTTACCTATTGATTGATCGATACACACGTCTATATTTAGGCCCGATTCAATCGATTTTCCCAAGTGCAAAAAGAGTGGGAGCTGAGATAGGAAGTTGTTAGAGAGCAGTTTTTTTTATCTTGCCAAAAAAATAGATCAGGAGTGGGTTTTCAAAACTCTTGGAGAGGCTCGTACTAACTCGAGCTAAATTGTTGTCAAGGGTTTTAAAGTTGAAATCTCGATATGCATGTATGCCTTAGATAGTGGAGGTTTCAAGGGGGTTTTATTCTTATTTAAAGCTACGACACATCTACTCAATTGGTATGGTATTTATAAAAAAGAGAAAAATAGAGTTTCATTAGGATAAAATCATCTGTCACATTTACCAATACAACAAAACACAATGAAACATTCACTGAGATTGGTTTATTTTACTCTCCCATGTTCTTGAGGATCTTTCACGATGAGATAAGCAAAGATTTTTATGCAATTGCAAGGCTATATATTTTATATGCCACATTTAATCACAACACCATATAACAGTTACATAACATGACTAGCTACTAAAACCGTGTCATGAAACTATACATTGAGAGATAGACTATTTTATTTGTAATGTTGATGCCGCACTCGTAATAAATGTGCATTCAAACTCAGTATTAAGACATTTTAAAAAAAGTAACAGCTAGCATCTTGCTTAGAGGTGGGCTCAAATCATGAGGTCAAAGACTAACCAGAGGTCTCTCTAAGTTTGCCTTGCTCACTACTACAAGAGCGGGCATAACAGAGACGACACAATTTTCGATATCGTTGGCCTCCTTAATGCATGGGAGGGAATTTGAATCTAGTTGTCCAAATATAAGGGCATGTTTGGCACAACTTCATGCACCGTTTGAAGCTATTTCTTTTGCCAATCTGGTCTTTTGTAAATAGCTTCACCACTGAAACTCATTAAATTATGCTCTCACATAGAAATAGGATGAGATGAAACTGAAAATAGTAGCTTTTCACAGCTTCACCTCACGCTTATAGTCTTCTATGGATTCTGTGAGAGCATATTTTAATAAATCTACATGCAGAGCTGCTTTGCCAAATAATTCACCAAAACAGCTTTAGCTTTACCAGTAAAGCTGCTCATAGAGCTAAAGCCAAAAAAACCAATTCATTGGTGAAGTCGAATTGTGCCATGCCAAGCGAAGCCTAAATTAGCAAACGTTCACGGAACTTAAAACCAGCCAATGAAAGTAACGATACAATTTTCTTTTTGAATACACTGTTCTTGTATTTTTTAAAAAAGTTATATTCATAACTTTTGTGTAATATAGTTTATATAGCATAACTTATCTTCACAACTTCTAATCATAATTTTTTCAATATACTTTTATGAGATTTTGTAAACAACTTATCGTGACAACTTTTCTGCATAACTTTTAGAACCCAAATTTTCTACAATAATTTGGCAGTTGTGGTATCAAATCCAATAGGTTTGTCGTGTTTCTCACTCTTTTTTCCTTTTCCTTTCTTTTTTTAATTTTTATATTAAACTACCCATCTTCTTCTATATATTATGAATAACTATTTTATGATTGGGACAAGTTGTGTATATTTTCTTTTGAAAACATTAAACAACAAAAGTTATGAGTATAAGTTACATTGTTTATAAAAAATTATTATATAAAAATATATCTAGAAAACTTATGTTTTGAAATTGTTATCAACAATTTGTCCATTGATAGCTAAAAATAAAATTTGGGTTACAAAGGTCTTGTCAAAAAATTGTTATGATAAGTTATCTATAGAGTTATGTAGAAAAAATACATTAAAAAGTCATTGATAAAAAGTTGCGCTGATACTTTTTTTCTACAAAATATTATGTACAAGAGTTATGAGCATATAACTTTATAAAATTCTTGAATTAGAAAGTTGTAGAAACAATTTTTTCTAAAAAGTCATGGAGGTTTGTCTTTAAAATCAATGGAACATTCACTAATTAGCGAAGTCGATATAACTGTGTGCTATAGATATTAGGGGAGTCCTAATAAGGTTTTGTCCATGGTGGTTTGTCCGCTTGACCTTGTTTTTGTTTTTTAAAAAGATCGTGTCTACAAAACGACAAATAAATGTTTATTGTAAGGGATTTGCTAAAATTCAGGTGCTTGAATTTTAGTTTCCTTTTAGGCGACGGTTATTGCATATATTTTATACTGAAATTGCTGTTTTCGTTTATTGCAATTTCTGTAAACGCAATCTGCAATTTTCGGAACCGAGAATAAAAAACCTGTTATACAAAACCACAAACCCAAAAAAATTTGATTTGTGTTTGCACAAAGATAATTAAAAATTTATAATTATTTTCTATAGGAAGACAAAGACAAAATTTAATATGTTATAACACAAAGACAAATAACAAATCATAAAAGTAATAATTTACTTGTACTAGTTAGAGGTACAAGAGTATTGCCTGAAATCATCTTAAAATTCAGGCACCTGAAATATAGGAGAAGTGTTATTGTAAAATCTTTAGTTCAAAATGTCAAAATGCAGTGGATTGGTCAACTCTTCAAAGTTCATGTTTTTTTAGGAGAACTCTTCAAAGTTCATGTGACGGGCAACATTTGTCCTCTAGGCCTGGCATTTTAACTGGGCTGGATGAGTTACGTTTCGGCTCAATATTGGGCTAGCCAACTTGGGCCCATCGAAACACATTTCCATCGGTGTCCCGTTATAAAAGCCCGCCCCTCTCTGGTGGCGGAGAGGAGGGGGGTTGCCCTAACAACCCGGGCAGCCACCGGATGTCTCCCTCCCTGGAGCGAGTGGCGGCGGGCCTCACGCCCGCACGTACAAACACCGCGCTCGCTCGCGCTGCCGCGATGAGCATCCATCTCACCGAGCCCCCAGGCTTAGCCGCGCCCCTACCCGTAAGGAAATCGCTCGAACCGAGCTCTGAGCCTGCCTCGGCGCCATGGCGATCTCCGAGAGCTCGCGGAATGCGCTGCTCCCTAGCTTCCTTTACGCGGCCCCGGCCGCTGCCTCTCCCTTTGCTGCCGCCGCCGCCGCTAGCGTGGGCGGGCGCACGGTCGCCGCGCCGTCTGCTGCGGCGGCAGCGCGGCCCGCTATTTGGGCGCGGGCGCCGAGCGAGCCCGGCCGGAGGATTGAGATGTACTCGCCGGCGTTCTACGCGGCGTGCACGGCCGGCGGCGTCGCCAGCTGCGGGCTCACGCACATGACCGTCACGCCCCTCGACCTCGTCAAGTGCAACATGCAGGTGAGCGTCTCGATGCTGGCTCGATTTGGATAGATGAGTTATTTGTGCGATGTTCCCCATTTCGATTGGTAGGATTATTCGTGATGTAATCTCTATTTTTAGAGTTATTAGACGGTTGTTTGATGCGAGTACATCATACTCGAACCAGGCAACCAGCTGCAACCGTACATTTTGTGTAATGCTCTATAAATATGCTATCACATTTTCATTGTCGTGGTAGCCTGCACTGAAAGAGCAAAACCTCAATGATTACATTCCTGCTAGTTGTTTATGTTCATTTTCGATGAATAGTTATCGTTATGAACTGATTGCTAATGAAAACTTTTATTGGCCGATTTGTCAGATAGATCCAGCCAAGTACAAGAGCATCTCATCCGGTTTCAGTGTTTTGTTGAAAGAGCAAGGGGCCAAGGGTTTTTTCAGGGGCTGGGTACCTACCCTACTTGGATACAGTGCCCAGGGAGCATGCAAGTTCGGTTTCTACGAGTTCTTCAAGAAGTATTACTCGGATATTGCTGGCCCTGAGTATGCCACCAAGTACAAGACTTTGATTTACCTTGCGGGTTCTGCTTCGGCTGAAGTGATTGCAGATATTGCCCTCTGCCCCATGGAAGCTATTAAGGTCCGTGTGCAGACGCAGCTTGGCTTTGCAAGAGGTTTATCAGATGGCCTTCCGAAGTTTGTGAAAGCTGAAGGCTATTCTGGGTGAGTTGAGGTTTGCCTACTTTATTTCTGTATCCATGTCTTCACTTTTTTTAACACTGTCAAATTTTCCAGACTGTATAAAGGAATTGTTCCACTCTGGGGCCGACAAATTCCTTGTAAGTACCTACTTCCTGCTTGTTGTCAACTGTCACATAAATTTGAATCGCTTTCCTTTCTAATTTTTTACTATACTATGTTTGTGCCCCTTAAGAATCAACTGTTGAAATAATTGGTATGTAAGCTTTGAAAAAGTAGATTTTGTATTGCTAAGATGATGATCAAACTTATCTTGTTTTTCAAAAGGGTTGCCACTCTAGCGATAAGCATTTTTTGTGTTTGTAATCTCAACTGTGATGTTAATGATGCAATGAAATAAATGGATGATATCTTCTTTAGTATTGGTGATGCAACTTCACTCATGCTACGTGATTCGTGTACATATTTAACTCACCGAGTGTGCAACAAATTTAGTGTTGTAGAATTCATGGAACGGCTATGGATACTGGTCTCATTTCTCACTGATGACAGTCTTCATTATCATTCATACTTGTTGATATCTTTGGTTTTTTATTAGCACAAAAATTTAGTTTTGCAAGAATATTAGTTCCGGTGCACATAGTTCTTCTTGAAATCGTATAATGATTTTCAAGATTTTATGTGTGCATATATTGATATTCCACGCTGCTTGAGTCATCTCCACTGTGACATGGTCCTAGACTCCAATGAGATGGTGTATATTTCTTAATTACTAAATGGATTTTATGCTTTTGGAGTCACACTGATCATCAGCTTTGAAAATGGTGCCCTTTCTTACTCATCATAAGTCTTATAATCTCACTTGTTGACATTTCGTTTTCTTATTATGGTGTCAATGTTAGGTTTACTAGAATGTAGTTCTGGTGCACATAGTTCTTCTTGAGATCGTGTAATGATTTTCAAGATTTTATGTGTGCATATATAGATATTTCCACACTGCTTGAGTCATCTCCATTATAACTGGACCTAGACTCCAATGAGATGGTGTATATTGGTTAGTTGCTCAAAGGATTTTCATGCATTTGAAATCATTGACTATCAGCTGTAAATAATAATATCATTTCTTTAGGATGACAAGTCTTGTCGGCACTCAATTGTTTACATCTCTTTTTAATTATGTATAAAATATGGGTTTCATCTCCATTAGAATGGCTAGATTTAACGTTGGCTCGCCACGCCTATCACAACCCTCCTCCTTTACCAGGGCTTGGGACCTGCTATGTTGAGACAACATAGGCGGAGTTTTCCAGGGCGAATTATGTATAAAATATGGTCGCTATAATATTAGTTTCGATGCACATAGTTCTTGAAATTATGTATGGTTTCAAGAATTTATGTGTGCAGTTAAATTATCCGCACTGCTTGTGTTTTCTCTGCCATTCTAGAGCTGGACTCCATTTTTTTAAAACCAGAGCTAGACTCCAATTTTGTGTACATTAAAAAACATATCAGGTTTATGTTGTAGAGGATAGAGGATTTGACACTAATTAGTTTTAAATTTGTGTATTTGATAATCAGCTATGAGCATTTGGCACTTATAACCATCTAATATAACGTATTTTCTTTACACATAATTATCTCTTCTTGTGTTTAACTTATGTACCTGCATGCTAAGACATGCATTTTCATGCACATAGTTCTTCTTGAAATCACACTATAATTTTCAAGATTTTATGTGTGCGTATATTAATTTACCACACTGCTTGAGCTATCTCTGTTGCTATGGAGCTAGACTCCAATGAAGTGGTGTACATTAGTTCATTAATCAAATGCTTACAGCTATTACTCCCCGAGTGCATACCCCCCAAAGGGAAAACGTGACCATACTGCACACATGATTCTTGGGTGCTGGTTGTTGTGGATGCCTCTATGCTCATAGTGATATTATTTAGTCTGCTTGTCTCCATTACAGTGGGAGCTAAACTCTTAATTACTTGTGGGGAATGGACATGGGAATTTGTATTATTAGGCCCCTATTTTGCTTGCGTTGCTACATCAATGACTATAACATATTAGATTTCCTTCATGTGTACGGTGTGAACTAATTTTGGAACATATGAGCTTGCTTTGTACCAAGTTTTATTCTTTTATTTTGCTTTGATATTTAACCTGAAGGACTGTCCAGCATCTTGTGGTTTTACTAAATGCAGACACTATGATGAAATTTGCCTCTTTCGAGACTGTTGTTGAGATGATCTACAAGTATGCCATCCCTGCACCCAAAAACGAATGCAGCAAGAATCTCCAGCTTGTAGTGAGCTTTGCTGGTGGCTACATTGCTGGGGTGTTCTGTGCAATTGTTTCTCACCCAGCTGATAACCTTGTTTCCTTCCTCAACAATGCCAAGGGGGCAACGGTCGGCGATGTATGTTTTCTAGACAATTAGATATTATTTTCTTTGTTTACCTTGTTTTTTGCACTTACCATTTGTGTAATGCTTGCTCAGGCTGTGAAGAAGATTGGTCTAGTGGGGCTATTTACGCGTGGGCTCCCGTTGCGTATCGTGATGATTGGTACCCTCACCGGTGCCCAGTGGGGTATCTATGATGCTTTTAAAGTCATGGTTGGACTGTAAGTATTTCTATTTGCTGATACTGGTCCCTTGTCAACATTAACCTGTAGGATTTTTCATTATCACTTAATGGGGGCTATTTTTCAATCCTCCAGGCCGACTACTGGAGGTGCTGCTCCAACACCTGCTGCCACTGAGGCCTGATGAGTGACGACACAGCCAAACTTCAGACAAAAACTGGCGCCACCCTTGATGACCAAATAGCTCCTCTTTCTTAGGAGCAATTCTTTTATTCTTTTAGGAACTCTAAAATGATAAAATCTCAGATGAGTCTCAAGCTCATCCATGCTAATTAGAATGCAAGAAATTTAGGAAGATGTTCACTAGATAATCAAGTGGTTCACGATGCCCGGAAACCATGGCATCTTCATCCATGCTAATTAGAATAAAAAAAAAAAAATCGGAACATGTTTACTAGATAATCAAGTGCCTCATGATAGCTGGAAACCATGGCATCCTTTTTTTAAAAAATTTATGATTGTGGAAGTATATATACTCCCCATGGACCATGGTTAAAGCTTATTGGCTCTGTTCGCTTGTCTTATAATCCGTATTTTTTAGCTTGTTTTTTCAGCCGGAACAGTGTTTTCCTTTTCCAACAAATCAGCCAGAATAGTGTTTCGGCTTGTTTTTTCAGCGAAGCGAACGGGGCCATATTTTGCTGGTTCGATTTGTGTAATTTTCTCCGGTATATTTTAGGGTAAGTAAATGAGACCATCTCTGTGGCAGAGCGTGAAGTTCTTGCTGTCTAATATATGCTGCTTGTTATGCCGACATACTTTATTGTGTACTGAACAAACCTATTCCTCTTGCCTTTTTGTTTGGACTGTGCCTATGCTTTGTCATCGATGTCAAGCAGATTTATGAAGGTCTTAAGAATTAAGATGGTATTGCACAATTACTGCAAGTCTTTTTTTGCTGTTTTTAGATCATGACGAGGAAAGTTAGTTCTCATTGTAAATATCTTCGAACGGTCGCTCTCAGCAACCGAGTCCAACATCGCTTCAGAGGGGCGAAAGATAAAGATCAAAGCTGGCCTATGACGTAGCAACTTGCCACGTCTCCGCGCGTGCTTCTCTAGTTGTATGGACGATCTTTTGTGGAAGCTCAATGCTACATAAATGTTTGTGACTCTCTTTAGAACGTAGAAATTGTATCAAAATTATATAGAAATTTAACAGGGATTAGTTCATTTTTTCACACGAAAAGCGTATGAACAGTAAAATACCCACCTTCTAAAGGGGGCCTAAAGGTTGCATGAAAAATTTGGTAGGGTTTCAGTTTCTTTGAAAAACTCTCTTTCAAAAAAATGTTGCTTGAAATGCAGATTTGGCTGTTTCTCACTTATAGTGCGAGAACCAAAAAAAAAGTTCGATTGGTTTGAATTTGTGTTTCCCATTGTTAACTATTTTTCTCTTTTACGTTCGAGAAAATGAATCTAGAAGCTCAACCAAATAGGACATACGAGGAAGGCCCATATGTTATTATTATAAAAGCTGATGGGAATCTCTAGCAAAATCTCTACTCCATCTTCAAAAACAGCCAGACTCTAAAATCACAATCTCTATTATGCTCAGCTGCCCGTGCGGCCCTAACTTCCATCCTAGACCCCATAGAGAAGAAGTAAGGGTAAAGATTAGGGTTCTAGTTCTACTCAGCGGACCTAAAAGCAGGGTTGGGAGAGGCGGCTGCGACACAGTGGTGACCTGGTGGTGCAATGAGGTAGCAAGGACACTGCCAGAGCTGGGGGTGTTAGGAGGATTGGCTGGGACGGTAGACAAGGCTGGCGGTGGGAGCATCGTTCCTCAACTGGTTAAAGGAGAGCAAGTGCTTATGGGATGTCGGGGTCGAGGCGGTAACAACAAGAGCCGTCAGTCGCCAGTGGAGGGAGGGAAAGGGTCTGCGGGGCGGTTGAGGCGACTAGGAGGCCTCGAGACCAGTCGCGGATGACGGGAGCACTAGCGAGGCAACGAGGGCAATGGCACCGCTGTGGAGGAAGACAAGGTTGCACACTCCTCAATCGCACTACCAATCATGCCTTAACTTAGCCCCTCTAACACCCCATCAAGCTCTCGCTCCAATGGACCCTCTCAAGGTCCTTAAACTCCTACCTAAAAAAAGGCATGATCTAAGATTGCACTAGCTAGTACTACTCAACTAGGCACTACTTACCGATGGATGTGATTGGTTGTTTGCATTAGTCTGTATCTAGGTTTGTGCAGTGCGGTTTGCCCATGTTCAGTAACTTGCAGAGGCTCTTTTGTAGACTTGCACAGTGCTCAAAGCATGTCAATACATCATTAGCTATATTAGTCCGTATCTAGGCTTGTGCAGTGCAGTTTACTCATGTTTGGTTATTGGCATAGGCTGTTTTGCAGACTTGCACAATGCTCAAAGCATGTCAATGCAGCATTAACTAGCACGCTCAATTTTTTCAATTAGATTACGTAGATTTGCATAAGCCAACAGCATACAAAATAAAATAGTTCCACGGTGAGCTACAGAGTTGCCGCCACGTAGTGTCCGCAGAGGATGGTTAGGACATGGCAAGATAAAATCCTGGTCCCGCAAGATCCGTTCTTCCAAATGGGATCAGGTGATTCCGTGATTGGCTCCAGTTCCTCCTCCCCTCAGCACCACCAGTCCGGCAGTCCCTTCCAGCTCCCGTCTGCTCCTCCTGTCACAGCCTCTGCTCAATGGCAAACGTCCAGAAGCAGAGTTGCACAGCACGGCATAACACCTCCCTCCACTGATCCAGTTCCACTCGCCCAACGTCTTCTCCTTCGCAAAGCAAGCTTCTTGTTCTGCTCAGCTGCAGGTCGCCGCGCCCATGGCGCTGCTCTCCGCCACTTCACCCGCAAAGGCGCACTTCTCGGCGCTCCTCTTCTGCCACGACGAGCCGCAACAGCACCAGCACGCGCTCCCTGTCCCGCACCCGCAGAGCTTCGGCGGCGGCAACAAGGCCAGGCAGCGGGCGCGGGGCAGGTGCGCGGCGGCGTCAATGCGGCTTCCCGACGCGTCCGTCGCTTCCGCGCCCGCCCCAGCGGCCGCGGCCGGCGAGGCGCGGCGGAAGAAGAAGCCCCGGGTGCTGGTGGCCGGTGGCGGCATCGGCGGGCTGGTGTTCGCGCTGGCGGCGCGGCGCAAGGGGTACGACGTGACGGTGTTCGAGCGCGACATGAGCGCGGTGCGCGGGGAAGGGCAGTACCGCGGGCCCATCCAGATCCAGAGCAACGCGCTGGCCGCGCTCGAGGCCATCGACATGTCCGTCGCCGAGGAGGTCATGCGCGTCGGCTGCGTCACCGGCGACCGCATCAACGGCCTCGTCGACGGCATGTCCGGCTCCTGGTACGCCCCACCCCCATTCCTCCTTCCTTTCCTGCAAAGTGCAACTTGCCATCTGTGTCTCGGATTCGGATCACTTGCTCTGTTTCTGCGTGCGCTGTGCTCGCGTCTTTGCATCTGCCGCCGTAGCGCCGCCGTCTGGTGCGCACCGCTACGCTACTACTCTACAAAGTGCAGCGCCTTGGAATTCGGTTATCCTTAACAGATTATACGCACGAGCATGACGCGCAGCAAAGTCAATTCGCTGCGGCAATCTCATCCGACCACACGATTTTAGACGTCACCTGTGCCAGCACGCTGCCGACCTCGGCAGATCGCCGCACGTGGTGCGCGCGGCGCACAAGGCCAACCAGCAACCTAGGGCCAGGGTCCCAGGGAGGAAGCGCCGTGCCGCCCACGGCGGCCGACCCGCCCGACGGGACCAAACGATCGAGTTGCCTGCTTCCGGCTAGTTGCCGTGGGAGCAGTGTTCGCTTAAACGGCGAGTAAATGGTAAACGGTGATGAACTATTTTGTTTAGGGGGTAAACGAAAATTAAATGATTAATTGTTTAAATGGTCAAAAAAATGGAAAAAACGGTCTAAACGGAATGGAGATAAACATCATTAAATGGACTAAATAACTGTTTAAACGGTTGTTTAGGCGAATACGAGGTAAATTTAGTTCAGTTTTGTATGAATAAATTTGTATACTTAAGTTTATTATATTTATAAATATGTATATTTGATATGTTACATACATAAATATCAATATTTGGTTTTTTCACATGCATAAATATATACATACTAAAATAATTAATTTTTACTCGGATAAATATGTATAAATGCTAGAATTTTTGATTTTTTATATGCATATATATAATTATATGTATTTAAAAAAAATATAAAACCATTTAACTTTATTTAAATACTGTGTAAACAGTCTCGACGCTAAATGAAAGACGATCGTGTAAAGATCGTTGCGTGGGAGTATGGACTACTACTATGGAGCATCCGGGCACGGCGCGGCCTGGTCGCCTGGTCTGGTCGGCCGGTAAAAAATGGTGCCCGTTTCGTTTTCTATCCGGGGTACCCCACCTCGCGTGGTCTGCGCCGCGCGGCAGGCAACCCACGGCCGCCACGTCCAACCGACCGCCCAACCGCACCGAGGCAAAGCTTCCACCAATCCACCACCCCCTCCTTCCTTCCTGCACTAGAGGCCGAAAGCGACACCGACCGCAGTTTCGGTCTCCGCTCCGCTGCAAATTCCATTCTTCTCCGGCACCGGCCCTGCCACCCCCATAAAATTCGCTATCTTGGCAGGCGCGTCCATTGAAGCACCCTTCTGAAGTTCTGATCTAGAGCTTCACAGAGACAACGAGCTTCCTCTTCCAGTTCCCAGCTCTCCTGTCAGCCCGAGAACCAATGCCAAATCGAAAACACACTCAAGTCTCGAGATAGCAGAGTCCTCAGCTGAGGTTTGACTCCAGCTACTGCCTCACTGACTGACCGCCGATAAAGTAGTAACAGTGTAGCACAGCATACCAGCTGCTCACTCATAGCAAAGCTTGCATACCATACCACGACCATGCTGAGCACAACGCGGGCATCGCCGAAGGCGACCTCCCTCCCCTCCTCTCGGGCCTCTCAGACGGCGATCCCGCTCCACCCCGTCTCCCGCCGCAACCGAGCGCTCCGCCTTCTCGCGCTCCCCTCCCCGTCCGCGCCGCGGCAGAGGCGTAGTAGGCCCGGCCTTCCTCCCGCCCGCGCGGGGCTCGTCGCCACCGCGGCAATGCCGACGGCGCCGGAGCCCAAGAAGGCGCGCGTCCTGGTGGCCGGCGGCGGCATCGGCGGCCTGGTCTTCGCGCTCGCCGCCAAGCGGAAGGGGTTCGAGGTGCTGGTGCTGGAGCGGGACATGAGCGCCGTCCGCGGGGAAGGGAGGTACCGCGGCCCGATCCAGCTGCAGAGCAACGCGCTTGCCGCGCTCGAGGCCGTCGACGCCGCTGCGGCCGACGAGATCATGGACGCTGGCTGCATCACGGGGGACCGCGTCAACGGCATTGTCGACGGCGTCTCTGGCTCCTGGTAAGGGAGGCAGTGGGGGTCGTTCCCGCGCCAGAGCCAAATTCTTGCACCAAGTCACCATGAATTTGATTGTTTTTGACGCTACCTGGAGAAAATTTTGACTTCCTTTGGCCGGTGCTAGTGGAATTTAGAGCGACAAGGGTTCATTTGTCTGCAGTATTGGCAGTTAGTACGAACCAATTGGTGGTTGGCTAGTCGTTATGGTCGCCTGTTTCAGTTGATTGTAGTAGATACTATCGTTAACACGCAAGTCTCTTATTACTACTAGATCTAAAGAGATATATATAGCTGCCGAATTTTATTCGGTGCTTATTTTACAGCTTTTGTTTGCAAATTTCCATGGCGTGTCTCTTTTTTTGCGTGGTTAGCTTTAACATAGATATTCCTTTGCTGGAGGCAGCCATTTGACAGTGCCAAGTTGGATTCAGGTACATCAAGTTTGATACGTTTACTCCTGCATCTGAGCGGGGGCTCCCAGTCACAAGGGTCATTAGCCGCATGACGCTGCAACAAATCCTTGCTCAAGCAGTTGGTGATGATGCTATATTGAATGGAAGCCATGTAGTTGATTTTATAGATGATGGCAGTAAGGTGAATGAGCAAATATGTTTTTGTGGCCATGTCAACTTCAATTTGGCTGCAAGAGTTGCCATTGCCTGTCTCTAAACTTGCAGTGTTTGTCGGTTGAGTGTAGGTTACTGCGATATTGGAGGACGGTAGAAAATTTGAAGGTGACCTTTTGGTTGGTGCCGATGGAATATGGTCAAAGGTAATGCAATTAATTCTCCTTTTGGTCAGAAACAAGCACAAACGGAACCTGATTTGCTTGAAGTTTCCTTTTCTGGATAGGTGAGGAAGACACTATTTGGGCATTCAGACGCCACCTATTCTGGTTACACTTGCTACACTGGAATTGCAGATTTTGTGCCACCTGATATCGATACAGTTGGGTATGTTACATGGATCATGGAATGATGGGTGTGATTTTCAGATTGACTGAAATTTCGTTGTGCCATAACCATGTCCTCCATTTTCCTCTGTTGAAGGTACCGAGTATTTCTTGGTCACAAACAATACTTCGTCTCTTCAGATGTCGGTGCTGGTAAAATGCAATGGTATGCTTTTCACAATGAAGAGGCTGGTGGCACTGACCCTGAAAATGGTGAGTCCTTACAGAAGTTTTCATGCTTAATTCGTGAAATAGATACTGCCTCATTGTAAGTTGTGATCAAAATGAGAACAATACTTCTGATATGCCCCCCACAAGCTTTATCATCTGCTTAATGTTAACAGGCAAAAAGAAAAGATTGCTTGAGATATTTGACGGATGGTGTGACAATGTTGTTGATTTGATAAATGCAACTGATGAAGAAGCGGTTCTTCGCCGGGATATATACGACCGCCCACCTACTATTAATTGGGGGAAAGGTCGTGTCACCTTGCTTGGTGATTCTGTGCATGCTATGCAGCCAAATCTGGGTCAAGGTGGCTGCATGGCTATTGAGGTATGCAATTTCTTAGCCTACCATGGATATGTTCTGGTGTTGATATCTATTACGTAACACAATAACCACCTTGTATTTGTTTCCGTAGGATGGTTACCAGCTGGCTGTAGAGCTAGAGAATGCCTGGCAAGAGAGTGTCAAGACTGAAACTCCTATGGACATAGTTTCCTCCTTGAGGCGGTAAGTTTTTCTAGCATGTTTAGTAGTATAAAGATAATGTTTCTTGAAACATCCACTGGATTTTATTTGAATGCTTGAATTGGCTCCAACTTCAAAGCAATCCTGTTCTTGCATGGTTTTTAAACTCTGGTCCATACTATAGTAAGTTGGCTGACAAGCAAAATATTCGTTTGCATATTGGGCCTGCAGTTATGAGAAAGAGAGAAGGCTGCGTGTTGCTATTATACATGGACTGGCAAGAATGGCAGCAATCATGGCTACCACCTATAGACCGTATTTGGGTGTTGGTCTAGGACCTTTATCGGTATGTATAAACACACACATTTTTTTGTTACTCAAAGCACATATCTCATTCTCTTTTCAGTAAGATTTAAAATTAGTTATGAAGTATGTCACCATCAATTTTATTGGATTTCTGAAATAAGGTTTGGAAATCGGAACTATATTATCTCATTACCATCCTCCTAAGAGCATTACTGAAGAACTCTATACTGAAACTACTTGAACTGCATGCTAAAATTATTTACCTGTAGTTTTTGACCAAGTTGCGGATACCACACCCTGGAAGAGTTGGTGGCAGATTCTTTATCAAGTATGGAATGCCTGCGATGCTGAGCTGGGTGCTTGGTGGCAACAGGTGCATACCAAAATTATTAATTACTGTCATGTGTTCCCATTTCAAGCACATATGCAATAGTAATAGGTTTCCATTAGTTTAAATGTCCCACGCAAAGAAATAAACATCACCCAGGCTCTCTTCTTAGTTCCCAATTACCATATCCGTACTCATCATGCAAATGGAACTTTTCATTGTGTACAGCTCAAAGCTAGAAGGAAGACCTTTAAGCTGCCGACTTTCTGACAAGGTACGTTGTCATAGTAACCATAAATTTGATTTAGTACCAGCATTTAATATTTACTGACATCTAGCATCAATCTGAAGGCAAATGACCAGCTTTATCGATGGTTTGAGGATGATGACGCGCTGGAACAAGCTATGGGTGGAGAGTATGTTCTTTGTTTCTTCTTTTTCATTTCATTTCGTTAAACAAGTGTTTGCTTTATTACTTTATTTCAGCACTTTTGAACAAAAAAAATCATTCATAATACTATTTGCAGATGGTACCTCTTCCCAAGAAGTGAAGGAAACAGCAATAGCTTGCAGCCCATTCGTTTAATTAGGGACGAGCAGAGGTCACTCTCTGTTGGGTATGTCTAAATAGCAAATTCATTTCTGCCCTAGTTGCACTCAATCAAGGCTTTATGGAATAAAACAAATGAATTTTCTTTTGCAGAAGCCGGTCAGATCCTAGTGACCCAGATTCTTCCCTATCATTGTCCTTTCCACAGGTTAGTTAATCGAAATGATGACAGTGTTTTAACTAACTTCTCATGTGTTGCATTGTACAAGGCCTTCTATCCATAAACTGCTTGTACCAGTCTTCAGTTTTCTG